GGTTTAATTGGTACTTTGTATCCACTGGCAGTTGATTTCTTTAGCACAGCTTTTATAACTGCTTTGTGGCAAAAACAACAAAAAAACATTTAGGCTGAGACTTTGTACAATTATATGCTTTGATGTGTAGTAGAGTAGTAGTAGATGGAATAACATTTTAAGGAATCTGGAGTTTGGTTATTGTTGTGTGCCCTCTATCATGTCACCCCACACCACAAAGAGTTTGCCTCAGCAAATATAGCAAGTTTACTCCTGCCTATACTGGCTCACCCCAAGTTTTTAAACTTGTTTCTTCTCAAGTTTTGTCATTTAAAATGCTTGAAAATCAATCAGCTATGTAGTTTAACATATGCACCCTTGTTTCATAGACGTCAGTCTTTCAACGTGACTTAAGCCTGCTTGAACAGTAAAGTGTGTTAGTTAGAGCAAGAGCTTATGTTAATTGAGATGGAATTTACTATTATTTGATTGGAAAAGAAACATGGTATTCCATAAGGAAGTGGTGGGGGCAAATTGGTAAAGGTGGGGGAAACTTTATATATTTGATGGGGTAAATTTGAAATGGGGCAAAGCCTCCATACACCCCTTTTAATGTTCCAGAGGGTATTAGTTCTTGTTTTCTATATGCTTTGTTGCCTTGAAAATGTCAGGTACACTGTATCTGTCTATTGATAAGTATCTTGAGTTTATTCGTTTTTGTTTTGTTTTGTTTTGTTTTTTGTGGGGAGTTAAGGGAATGCAAATGTTCCTAATAAGCCACGTTCTCTCTGTAAACAATTAATGTTGTTTTGTACTTTTGATGCTCATGTTGCCTTTTATATGTTGCTAATGATCCTAATTTTAGATAGTTTTGAGCTGATCTAAAAGTTCCTACAGCTGTAAGTGTTTCAATACGAACAAGATTGCTGGGTCTACATTCGCTTTACTCATAAGCTCAATACAAGTGGTACATGATATATGCTATTCAATGTATATACATGGATTAAGTTTGATTGGCATTTACATGACATATTGAAACAGTTAGTACCATCTATCAACTTCATTAATATTTTACCATGAGATAAAAACTCAATCATTTTGTGGCACATATTATTGATATAAATTTAATACCCCTTTAAATAAATATTGCTCAAGAATATTGTACCACACAGCACATGTTCATTTATCTTAGACATTGCTAGTGTCCATTGTGAAACTTCCATCTAGGTATTTTCTGTTTCATCACTGGCTCATGTCTACACTCCAGGATCAAAAAAATTACTCCAGGATCAAAAAAATTAGGGTAGTGGGGAACATTCCATGCCTTGCATAACTAGAAGCAATTTCCAAGTTGAATACAAGAATTTGTTCCACTAAACATGAGTTTATTGGAACAAATCCTTGCTCATACACAGCAAGGTTCCAATTAAATGAATGAGTGAATCACTCAAACAATCAATAGAAAAACCTGAAAGACCACACATTCATATATGATACCATCTTCTCTGGCTGAATCCAGTCATGCATGCACTTGCTGAAAGTAGCCTGTGACTTGGGCTTCTCTCTTAACTCCTCAAGGACAAACAATTCAAACTTGCAAATTAAGTCTCAGTGGGGTGGGAATTAAAATGATCACAGAAAATTTATGGCTTAACAAAACCTTGTTTTAATGTTCATGCAAAGCTTTACACATAATACAGGATATTTGACATTACATTTAGTATTTGACAGATACATCAACAACAGACAAAAAGAAAAATTATAGCCTGATCAAGGAAGCAAATCTACCTTGACTGATTTCCTTAGGTTTTTCAATAAAAGGTTGCCTTAATTGGTGTAGGTTAGCTTAAGTCTATGGGATATTGGCAAAATTCCCCGTCACTGAAGCAAGACATTTCAATTTTTTATGCTTGGCCTCAAATCTCCTACATGGTGTAAGCACCATTGGTCAAAGTCCAAAAGAAAGAATTTAAGAAAGTGGCAGGCAAATCAAATTATCAGTGATTTCTTAGAACCAACACTTAAGTTTATAGGATATTGCTGAGCTAATATACAGTTTGTATCAGGGATGTGAACTATTCTGGTCAAGACCTACATACCTTAACATTGTCCAGGGGTAATGAATCATGTAGTGCATTCAAGGGATTAGAGATGGCTTTGAGTACATCTGCACAAATCTAGTGTGGTGGTCTTCAAAAAGGTCTTTGATGAATGCAGCTTTGTTGGCCGTTTATAATGGCTGGTGAAAATACTGCATCCATAATTTCTAAGAACAAGATGTACAGTTGCCACTTTCATCCTCATGGCACATGGCACATGAGCATCAATCAACAAGGGAAGAAATCTTCCGAGGCACCACATTTGAGACGCTTAATATAAAACAAAAAGCATATGAGAACAACTAAATTGTTGGTAAAAGTTTTTTTAACACTAGTTGAAATTTGATTTTGCATTACTTCACTTATATTTTCTAATGGTGCCGCACTACAGTTAAAATCAAAGTAGTTTGCAAATATTTTCAACTTCAACACAAATAATCACCTTTCTGTTTAAGTGAGTTTGCTATGGATTCCAGAGTTTGAGCTGCAATAGGTGATTGGCTATAAAAAGATTCAAAATATTTAAAGTCGAAGTGCTGTCCAGATCCATACATTGAGCTGCTCTAATGTGAAGTAACTTTGCTCTTTAATTGAATACTTAAGATATTCCCTGGTTTCAAATAGGAGAACTCCTATTCTTTGCATCACCAGGAAGACCTCCAATCAAATAACAATAACAAGACTGGTTTAAAATAGAACAATGATTTATACCATATACAGCAGTTAAGTTAGCATCTGAATACTCAATGGATGTGCAGTTGTTATCATAACCTGTACACTTTCTCAGCCGAAGGTCACCTTCAATAAACTACAATTTAGATGATTAAATATTGAAAAATTTTCATTTAATAAAAAGAATTGGAATCCACACAGAAAAAATCAGTTTAGCAATTTAATCAGCGCAAAACTCGCTATATTTTGAGCCAGTTTATTTGATGCCAAAGGCAAAATGTGGGTGGGAGACCTTTAAGTTGAGTTATGATCATGGCAAATTATTATTATAATAATGAAATTCATACCACTGATTCAGCTAATCAGCTTTATTTACATTAATGACAAGAATTACCAATAGTGAGGGTTAAAGATCTTTTTAGAGTAGAAATTAATCATGCCGTTGAAAGGTAGTTAAATTTTTTTAATAAATCTAATTTGATTAATTACATAGCAGTTAAAATCAGAGTTTGTACTGCAACCCTTAATCACACGAGGCACCCTACCGAGGCAAAAAGAGTATACATTACCAAATTTATTCTGAGAAAGTATCCCTGCTTGGGGGAGAAGAAAATCTTGGAAACATCAGGGACCTGGATAGTTTTTTTAAGACATCTTATTCTCCCAGTGCTTTAGAGAGAACTTGCAACTACTGATATGTAAAGATACATGGTGTGATTTGCAGGTTATATACTCTCTCCATATGAAAACTTTCTAGTTGGATGGATTCCATTTTTAATGTTCTGGACTTTCCAAAAAAAGTATTTTTCTTATGATGAAAGTACGCACAAAAACACACAAATTGCTGATCAGTGCCAAAAAATCATTTGTAATCCCATTCTTCAGTTCTGTTGTTGTTAAACATCGTAATGTCCTCTTTATACGGTGTGTTCGTGCATTACAGGCTAATATGCAACTTTTGTTACAATGATTAACTGTTGAACCCCAAATAGAGAAGAATTGGGGTTACGCAACCTTTCGAATCTGGCCGTTTTGGGTAGAAATAACTCTTTGATTACTGGAATAAACGTTTTAACAATTAATGTAGCAGTTGTAACTTATATGTTGTCGAATTCCACTCGAAAAAGTCTGCCTGAAATGGAAAAATTGTTAAAAACGCAGGTAGAACGTATTTTATTAGCCACATACGATAAAGTAGGCGTGTTTTTTGCATACAATGAATGAAGGATGCTTTGCAGTTTTACGAAAACAAATTATGATGTTTTTCGAATGTCTTATTAAGAAGAAACTTGATAACACAATTGCGATCAATAAGACTTCCTCTTCTTCAAATGTTACATTTCTAATGTTAACCATTGTTATATTACTATTAGCTATTATGTCAAAGATTGCAGGGTGTAGGTAAAACTGCAATGGTGTCAAGCAATTAAGCATTGACGTAACCCTTTTAAAATTTGAAATTTATTAACATTGGAAAAAACCTCTAAATCTTAAATATATCACATTTTAAGACCAGGCAGTCATGAATAGTTGGATCTTGAGTATATAACAGTTGGTACTGAGTATGTACATTCTCTAGTACAGGCCGTTCCACTTTTACCAGATGTTGTTTTTCTTAGTGGGTTTGTTTGATAATTTCTATTTGTTTTATTTACAAACTAATCACCTTGTTTTCCCATTATCTTTTTTGTGTAGCTGTATGGCGTGTGAGCTCTGTAAAAATCATACTGCATGAAGCATTTCGATTCAGAGTTCCTTTTTTCGAAATATACATACAATACAAAAGCACGGCCTTGAACAACTTCTCATAAGAGAAAATATAGGTGCTCAGAACTCGCTATTTAAAATAACGTTGTATCACCCCCTCGATGTAAGAGAACGAATCTTTTAATCTACGAGGAATTGAATGAAACACAAATTCTCTGCATATCTGATTTGTTCTCTGACGAAGGGCTAACGCTCGAAACGTCAGCTTTGAATCTCAAGGGTGGCCAATAAATAAAATAAAAGCTTCATGTACAACTTTGTTATTTACAGTTGTAAGCCACGTTCTAAACAACACCTTTTTCGCTTGAAATTACAACAATGTATAACGAAATCTGTTTGATTTCACGTGTTACCAACTCAGTCAGAAAACGGCAAACAACAACGTGGCCTTTTGACGCCGCAATGCAAAGTGGTAAAGTAAGGAATTAATATGCATGTCAATCGCGAAAAAAGTTTGATGAATCAAAATTAAATTTCTATAAACCAAGGGATCGTTTCTTGCAGCAGAGCGGCCAGTTACTCTGAGGATGAAATGCCTTAATTACGCCTTTCGATCGACTCTAAGTCGACCCTTTCGGACCGAACGTTAGAGCAATGAAGAACACTGTCAATCTTGCATTTTCTATAGAAATTATCAAACTTCCTTTTAAACGCCTGCCTGAACGTTTGAGCAAAGGCAAAATAAACGTAAGGATTAGTACCACTGAACGCAACCGTTAACCATGTAACGAAGAAATATACGTTTAAACTTATGTGTACAATACCATGGTAATTCAGAATCAGCAATACACCAAGTGGAAACCAACAGAGTATGTATAAGACAACAACAGTAATCATCATCGAAGTTACTTTTTTTGCTGTTTTCTTGTTTGATTCAACGTGTCTTTGATTTTGATTGATACCCTCTATTGGGACTCCACGCGACCAAAGTTTATGGCAGACGACCGTGTAGAGGACCATTATGATGAGCAGAATAACGGAGATGTTGAAAGTGCTCAAAATTATGTCAATACGTGTCAATCCAGATGGCAAACCACAGTAATGGTATTTGTCGATTTCCACGACGACTCCATTCACCATGACGTTTACTGAACAAGCGACAGACCAAGTGTACACTGACATGATAGTTTTCTTCAAGTGCTGAGAAATTGGCGATGATTTGAAAGGTCTTATGACTGCGTAGAAGCGTTCGACAGCTATAGGTACCAGGATCCACCCTGTAAAGACCGGTGAAATAACCACACTTGCCAAATAGGACTTGCATGTGATTTGTCCAAAGACCCCACCAATCCAAAGATGAGTTAGCGTCTTAAAATCATAAAAGGGGACAAAAACGTGCAATAAATTTATCATTGTTAAGTAGAGATCGACGCACGCTTGGCTGAGTATTAACCAATTTGTGGTGGTTCTCATGGTGCGATCTTTTCGTATGATGTGAATGATGACCGAGTTACCCACCAGAGACAAAACAAATGTGAAGACGTAGACAAAGTAGATTAACGGGGTAACGTGATAATGTGTTGCTTTCATGGTACTTGTGTTATTTTCTGGCAAGACGAGAAATGAAAATT